TTTTTTTTTTGCAGGAGCGGAGGCTGGTCGGTTCACTCTCTGTGTGTGATTTTTGCTTGGCACTCGGCAAAAGATGAGTAAGAAGTGTGCGAGAGAGGAGTGCGGTAAAACAGTGTATCCTCTCGAGGAGCTGAAGTGTCTCGATAAGGTAAACCAACCAACGATCTCTTCTTTCCTTAGTTTTCAGTTTTTAAAAAAAAAAAAAACAAACAGAAGATTGCTTGAGTTCAGAAGAGTAATCTTTGTTGCTGTTCAACAGAGAAAGCATAGTGGCACTAATGCTGAGATGATAAAGAAAATCTACCATTCGTGTAAGAGTGCATTTTGCTGAAAAGAGCAGCAAATTGGTGGTTTTGGGGGAATTTTCGAGATTTTACGAATTCTAAAATTTGAAAAATTTGGTTTTTAAGCTTCACCAAAGTCGTCTTTGATGCTATAATCGGTTTCTGCACCACCGGTGCACCAGTATGACCAGTAAAGGTGACCGAGCCATTTACGCTTCTTTCATTTATGCGCAAAAAAACGTGAATCTATTACATGTCTTCTGCCCTTGTTCTTTTGGTTTAACGCATATCCCAGAGAAATTTTTACACTTTTTCAAATGACTGTCATCGATTGGGGGAGGGAGGAGGGGGAGGTATTTTAGTAGTGGAACTCGTCTCAGTAAGTAATTGCTTTTTTTTTGTAGGTATGGCACAAAGGATGCTTCAGGTGCACAGTGTGTGGCATGGCATTGAACATGAAAAACTATAAGGGATATGACAAAATGCCCTACTGTGAACCGTGAGTTTCACTTTTTTGCTTAATTTCATATTAAAATTTCCTCTTTTAAAATTTTTTTTTAAATTTCATATTAAAATTTCCTTTTTTTCACTGTAGTTAGGTGGAGTACCTCACACCATTTTATGTTTAATTTCAATTGCAATTAATAAATTAGCCGCCTTTTATCGAGCCATAATGAGGCCAAAAATCGCCAGAAACAGTGGCAGCTTTGGGTGGTTATTTTGAGGCGTTCGATCGAATTCATGAACCAGGGCAAGCTGAAGGCCGCAATTCAAAAAGCGTTTCGAAAGTTGCTTGTGTTAAACATAATTTCCAGAAACTTTTTTAGCTAAACATGAGATTTTCCGTCAATTTCAATAAGCCCCGTATTACTGCGTACGAAAATGTGTTGTTGCTAAATTTGCGGGGCACTGGAGCATCATCAAAATCCTGTCGATTTTACGATACTTTTTTCAGCCATTATCCAAAGACAGTGGCGTCAGTGGTCGTGGACACACCGGAAATGAGGCGTTTGGCTGAAAATACCAGATTACAAAGTCAGGTATGAATTGGGCTTCGGAATCCATACACACGAATGTCGTCCAGTCTTCCTGGCTTTAGTGTAGCGCTCCGATATTACCAAGGCTGAGCTTAACTGGGTTAGATCTTTCCCTCTGTAGAAGCTGAGATACACATCCGCGAGGGGTTTTAAATATACAAGCTGACAACAGTGGGTTCAGTTCGTTTTGGTTTACTTCAGCCGATAGGCATGGTGCGGTAGGATAACACTATTATCGTACAATAAAGTAAAAATAACTCCGCCGGTACGACAGCCAGTCCCTCTGCGATTCGTTCATTCGTCTTGATGACAAAATTGGTATTGAACTATGCCAGGGTGTGAAACTTATAAGCAATCTTCGAAAGAGACACCCGTCGACAGCGTAGGCTGCAGGCGGTTGCTGTTGGCACCTGCGTCTACTCAGGCTACTTCCCGGCTGCCTCCACTTCTCTCTGAGAGCGAATGCAGAGGAGATTTTCAGCTTTTTAAGTTAAATTCAACTTTGTTGCGCTTCAGCTTGCTTCGTTTCTCAAATATTCAAATTTCAGGTGAAATATCACGAAGACTTTGAGAAATCAAAAGGCCATAAAATCCAAGTGGCGGATGATCCAGAACTGGCTCGCCATTTGCAAAACACAAAAATCCAGTCTCAGGTAAGTAGAAGTTTCTGGCTGTCATAACCAAATTGTATTTTTCTATAAAATCCATCTGTTTTTTTTTTTTCGTTTTTGTTCTCTCCACATACAGTCAACTGGAAAAAACTGATATTTTGTTACA